TGTAGTCCCAGCTACTTGGGAGGCTGAGGCAAGAGAATTGCTTAAGCCCAGGAGTTGGAGGTTGCTGTGAGCGTGATGCCATGGCACTCTACCCAGGGGCTCAGCTTGAGGCTCTGTCTCAAAAAAAAAAAAAGAAAAGAAAGAAAAAGAAAAACAGCTTGGCAGTTTCTTTAAAAGTTAAATTTACTATATAATTCAGCAATTCTACTCTTAGGAATCTACTCAAGATAAATGAAAACATATATCCATCCAAAGAAACCTACATGGACGTTTATAGCAACATTATTCAAAATAGACAAACACTGGAAACCCAAATGCCCATCAACTAGTGAATAGCTAAACAAAACATGGCATATACAAGGAATACTACTCAGTATCGCTTCTCGGCCTTTTGGCTAAGATCAAGTGTAGGAATACTACTCAGTGATAAAAAGAAACAAACTCCTGGTCCGTGACACGGTAGGTTTTTTGAGATGAACCTCAAAAACCATTATGTAGGGCTCGGAGCCCCGCGCTGGTTATGGTGCCCGCCACAAGCACCAAGGCTGGTGAGTTTGAGTCCGGCCTGCCAGCTAAACGACAATGACAACCGCAATAAGAAAATAGCCAGGCGTTGTTGCAGGCGCCTGTAGTCCTGGTTACTTGGGAGGGTGAGGCAAGAGAATCTCTTCCAGCCCAAGAATTGGAAGTTGCTGCGAGTTGTGACACCACAGCAATCTACCAGAGCAACATAAAGCTCAGCGCCTGTGGCTCAAGGGGTTAAGTGGCCATACCTCTGCGCACATACACCTGACCTGGCGGGTTGGAATCCAGCCCAGGCCGCCAAATAATAATGACGGCTGCAACCAAAAAATAGCCGGGAGTTGTGGCGTGTGCCTTTAGTCCCAGCTATTTGGGAGGCAGAGGCAGGAGAATCGCTTGAGTCCAGGGGTTGAAGGTTGCTGTGAGCTGTGATGAGACAGCACTCTACCAAGGGCAATAAAGTGAGACTCTGTCTCTTAAAAACAAAAAACAAAAAGCTATATATACATAGTTATATATATATATAGTTTTATATATATGTATATTAAACATTATGTAGAGTGAAAGAAGTCAGAAGCAAAAAATAGCATATTATATGATTCCATTTATATGAAATATTTAGAAAAGGCAAATTTATAGATACAAAAGGTGGATAGGCATTTGGCTACAACTTGAGTTGGAGGCTGGACTGACCACAGCCAGGAGCGACCTTATCAGGTTGATAGAAATTCATTTCTGTAACTAGATTGTGGTGACGGTTGTACAACTGTACAAATCACTGAACTGTTAGAAAATGGACAGTTTAGGCTCAGCCCCTGTGGCTCAAGTGGCTAAGACGCCAGCCACATACACCTAAGGTGGTGGGTTCGAATCCAGCCTGGGCCTGCCAAACAACAATGATGACTGCAACCAAAAAATAGCCAGGCGAAGTGGCGGGCGCCTGTGGTCCCAGCTACTTGGGAGGCAGAGGCAGGAGACTCGCTTAAGCCCAGGAGTTGGAGGTTGCTGTGAGCTGTGATGCCACAGTACTCTACCCAGGGTGACAGCTTGAGGCTCTGTCTCAAAAAAAAAGAAAGAAAATGGACAGTTTAAAGGGATACTAGAGTGGGTGACCTGTTAGGATACTATAGCAGTATTCCACGGCCGGGAAAATACAGCAAGAACTTAGGTAGCTTCCATTTCCAGAGTCGGAAAATGGAAATAACGATGCAAGTCCTCTAAACAGGGGATGTGCAAGAGTTCGGTGCAACTGACACGGCCCTGAGGAGCACACAGTTGCCAAAAATTGGCAAAGGCTGTCTAGAGTTTTGGAGTCAGAAGCATTTGGGTGTGTAACACTGGAATAGTTTCAAATGCCATCAGCATATTAGCAAGAAATGGCAACTATTATGTACCATCAACCACACCCACCCTCATGTCCAAGCTGCTTGCTCCATCACTTTCTCTTCCTTTTGTCAACTGAAAAGCGCTTTTTAGTCTAAAATACAGGACCCACAAAGTTCGTGTGCAACTACAACTATTTTAAATTCCACACAAACATTATGGACACCCTGTATTTCATTCGACTAAATAAGGCCACGAAATCTAGCGGACATTGCGGGGCAGGAACCCGAGCCAGGGAAAGTCTGGACTCAGGACGCCAGCTCTCCAGCTGTGGGATGGGGTCAAAACATAGCAACAGCCGCTGCCTGCAGGGGGTGCCCGGACGCAACGCGAGGCTCCGCCCCGTCACGTGTCCGCGGCGTTACGTCATACCCGGAAGCGGCGGCCTGAGCGGAGCCGGCAGCTATGAGCGGGGAGCCGGGACACTCGTCCGTAGCGCCGCCTCCCGGGGACGTAGAGCCGGGAAGCGGGGTCCGCATCATGGTGGAGTACTGGTGAGCGGCTCCTGGCTGAAAGACCCTCTCCCCGCCCCCTCGGCTGGATGGAGATGGGTCTACGGAAGGCCCCTCTTCCGAAACCCAAGCCCACCCCAGATCTATTCTCCTCAGTGAACCCTGCGGCTTCGAGGCGACCTACCTGGAGCTGGCGAGTGCAGTGAAGGAGCAGTACCCCGGCATCGAGATCGAGTCACGCCTGGGGGGCACAGGTGAGGCCCGCCGAACACCTGCTGAGTCAGTGTTATGTAGCTCTACTACTTTCTAGCTCTAACTTAGGCTGCTTTAGATGTAAAGTGCCCTGCGGTGTCTGGCACTTGATAAGATATCCAGCCAACATAAGTCCCCTTCCATAGGGGAGGGGGCCACAGATGAAGCCTGTAGGAAAGAAAACAATTAGACTGCAATAGTATAGGGGTGGAGGGGAGGGAACCACCCCTTCATTAAGTAATGGACATACAGGTGAGGTCTTCTTTAGGTTCATTTGAGTTGACCTAGGCTTGAGGAGTGGCTTTAGGAGCTACAAATGAGTTTCTAATGGGACTGACAGGGACTTGAAGGAACTTGAAGGAGTTTGTGTGAAGTCTAAAGAGTCTGGGGGAGAGAGCCCTTGAGAGGTCCTCCCCTGACTTCTGTTCTCAGCATACTGTTTATTATCCATTTGTCTCATACTAGGAGCCTTTGAGATTGAAATCAATGGACAGCTGGTGTTCTCCAAGCTGGAGAATGGGGGCTTCCCATATGAGAAAGATGTGAGTATTTGCAATGTTGAAGGGACCCCTGTGTCATGCTACCTGAACAATCCATTATCTCATCATTCTACATCTCTGTCCTCTAGCTCATAGAGGCCATCCGAAGAGCCAGTAATGGAGAACCCCTAGAAAAGATCACCAACAGCCGTCCTCCCTGTATCATCCTGTGACTGCACGTGACTCTGGGTTCCTGCTTTGTTCTGAGGTCCAAGCCTTGGTTGGTCTCTCCTGTTTGGTCCTGCTGGGAGCTCCCCCTGCCTCTTTCCTCTTACTTAGCTCCTGGTAGCTAAGAGACCCTGGCCTCCACTTTGCTCCACTGGGTATAAGGAAGGAATAAAAGCTTCTGTGGTTTGAGGGTAGGAGAGAGATGCTCTCTATGGACATTTCCACAGCCACCATATACCCCCTTCACAGGATCAGTGCCCACAAAAGCCCCGTCCTCTCCCCATCTTGGCAGTACCTGTCAGATACCACAGTAGATTTAATTTATTCTCCCCTACCTCTGGGCAGTCCTAGCTATTGTTAATAAAATGGCACCATAAACACCTGTGCCAACTAGTGTGTGTTTTTGTATGTCTAGTCTGAGAGTATAGAGGGCTACCAGATGTACCACCAGGGTAGCTGTGCTGGGTGGGTGGGCTTTTTCCAGACAGCTACTTATTGGTTCAGCAAGCTCCTCTCACAAGACAAGGAAAATGAGTCCCACTATAGACAGTGCTTTTTTGTCCCATTACCCACAGGGAGGAAATTACCGCATTCTGGTAGGTGGTCTCAGGAATTAGTTTCTTCTAAGTAAGAATGATCTAATTGTCAAAGGACTTTCAGATCAGAATCCCGACTTGCTAATCCCCCCACCCAAAGCCAGAGAACTGGACATTAGATTCCTCATCAGGCTTTCTGAAGATTCCTAGACACTCCTTTTAAGGTGAGCAGTAAGGGATGGATGGCACAGAACCATCCCTAGACATAGGCTGGTGCCCAGCAGTCTTCCATAATATATTTACAAATGGAAAAAGTGGGTGTGGAGAAGGGACATCACTCCCCCCGAACCCCAAGAACCCCTCCCAGCTCCACATGATACCCACTCTCCCTGGGTCTTTATTTTATCTTTTAAAAAACAACAAAGTAAAAACAAAACAAAAAAGCACTCTGTACAAGGATTGGCTCTGGATGCTACTGCTGCTCCCTTGCTCCTGGGGGGTAGCAGAAGGTCTCAAGGCCAGTGTCTGAATGGGTTGCTCTTGTTCTTAGATATTCCTTTGGGGCCTCTTCCCTTCCTAGGCCAGCTTCCCCAGATCCTTAAGTACTGAGGATCTGGAAGTAAAGTGCTAGGCTGGGCTGCTGCTTCTGGTGAGGCAACTATGGCTGTGGCATCCATTGGACCCTGGAGTCTGGTGGCACAGGTCTCCCCAGTGCTGCCCCTCTTCCAACCACTCTGGGCCCCTCTCAGCCACTGGGTAGCTCAAGCAGAAAAGAAAGTTCCTTAGGACAGGTTCCTGGTATGGCAAGCTCCCCTGGATATGTTCGGAGGTCCCTCCCCCACCTTGTGGTGATGGGCTGGAAGTCAGGCACATCAGGGCCTCAAGGGACATGGCCATCTGGTTCATACTGGCACATCCAGGCCCAGGTACTCAGGGTTCTCTGCCGTAGGGGTCCCTTCAAAGGTGCTGGGTGGAGACCCCCGCACTGATGGGTCCTGGTCCCAATAATAGAGGTTGTCAAAGGCTGGACTGAAGGGAGGAGGAGGGTGGGGCTGAGGGGCAGCCCCTCCCCTGGGTGCCAAGTACTCAGGGTTCTCCACAGCACCCCCAAAGGCAAAAACGTCTTTGACAACCCCATTCTTCCCAGGAGAGAGAGTCTTGGGCCTTTCCAACGTAGCACCAGCAGGTCGGGCAGGAGGCATGGGGCCTTCCAGGGACAGGGGAGGCTGTTGCCGAACATCTGGCTGGTTCACATATTCTGAAAGGGCAAGAGAAGAGGACTTGTTAGGGAAAGGAACCCAGGTGCCTACTGCCCCTACAAGGGACCCTGTGCTGAGGTCCACAGCTTCCCCCACCCAGTCTCTCAGCTTGAGCCTAGATTCCATACCAGGCTGGGAGCTGCAGGTCAGAGGGGCAACATAGCCGTCAGTTTCAGGGGGCAGGGGTAATGTAGGATCCTCACTGTACCGCTGTAGAGGGCTGGGGTCATGTAGAGGGAGGCTTTGCAGCCCCTTGGCTGCCCCCATTCCCAGGTCACCATCAAACACATCGGAGCCAGCCCCTTCTGAGGGGGCCAGTGGAGACCTGGGGGGCTCCCCTTCAGAGGGCTCCAGCCCCAGTGTCAGGTCACCACCACCACCACTCTACGGACAAGAGAGAAAGGCATGGATCTGAGATGGGGACTCTGGGAGGTGACAGGGTCACAGGTGAAAAACAGGTTATCTCCAGGGTATGACACAGTCAACATGGACAGACTGGGGTTATAAGGGTTGAAAGGCAGTAGGAATCCTTAGGGACAATAGGATCTGAGAGATGATGGTTGAGGAACATCAGAGAAAAGGACCCTAGTCCATTGAGGTGGGGGAAGGTGAACAAACACAGCTACCACAGTGTGACCGAGGGCACTGACCCTGGTGGATGAGCTGCGATGCCTGTGGTGAGCTGTGCCCCCAGCACCTGGGGCAGGGTCTGGGCAGAAAAAGCCCTGCTGGGGTACCAGATACTCTTCAGCATCCACCAGGTCCCCCATGTCATCATCCTCCAGCAGTGAGCGGTAGAAGGTGCTATCCAAGGGGCTGGCTGGGCCCAAGTCCTCATTCTGGGAAGGAGGAAGACACAGGGTGGCAGCCCCTCCTCAGCCCATGTGCAGCTACCCAGGCAAGGCTCACAGAGGGTGAGAGGCTGCCACCCAGGGTTATCTCCCTTTCCCAGCCTGCGGGAAGGTGCTCTTAGTCATAGACAGGGATACAGCACAAAGGCCCAGTACCTGTATAACTACAAAACGCTGAGGATCCCTGGCCATACGGGAAAATTCGGCCACCAACTCCCGAAACCTTGGCCGACATTCAGAGTCAATCATCCAACCTGGGGCAGGAAGGAGATCAGCATCCTAGTCCCAGGTCCAGCCTCTGTGCTCACTGCCTCTCTGCCTCCCACTCTCTCTCCAGCCTGGTCTAAACAACCCCAAAGGACAGCCCAAAGCCCACCAGGTGCTAGAGAAGCAGTACCAGACTCAGGTCTTAAGCCAGAACCTTTGGGCATCTCTACTAGTTTCCCCCTTTGAATTTTGCATCTAAATCTCTCTCTAACTGTCCCTCTAGAGACCTCTGGACTTCTATTACTGTAGAAGAGATAGGGGGTGCTTTGAACCTCCTTTAATTTTTATTCTATTTTATTTTATTTTTTTAGACAGTCTCACTTTGTTACCTTGGTAGAGTGCCATGGCATTATAGCTCACAGCAACCTCAAACTCTTAGGCTCAAAAGATCCTCTTGCCTCAGCCTCCCAAGTAGCTGGGACTATAGGTGCTGGCCACAGTGCCTGGCTATTTTTGGAGACAGTGTCTTACTCTATCTTAGAGTTTTGCTCTATCTTGAACTCATGAGCTCAGGCAATCCACAGGCCTCAGCCTCCCAGAGTGCTAGGATTACAGGCGTAAGCCACCGTGCCTGGGCCTAGAGACACCTTTAAAGATACCAGGGCTCCTAGGTCCACATACATCCTGCTCTTGATTCTCTTCCTTCCCCTATGGCCCCTTCACCCAGCACCTCCCAGCCCTCCTCTGAGAAGCCAGCACAGCTCAGCCACACACATTTGACCATGATCATGTAGACATCGATGGTGCAGATTGGGGGCTGGGGCAGCCGCTCCCCCTTCTCCAACAGGTCAGGGATCTCCCGGGCTGGGATCCCATCGTAAGGTTTGGCCCCAAAAGTCATCAGCTCCCACACTGTCACACCTAAGGCAGAGACAGGGGTCAAGGGAGCTCTAGTGGGCAGGAGCCTGGCACCATGGCAAGAGGAGGGAGATATGAGGCCAAGAGACAGGATCTATCAACCCAGTCTCCCCAGTGCCAGGGAAGTGCATGAACCCTGCAGAGTGGGACAAAGAGGCAGCCTCTTCCCTCCCACATGCTAAAGTGGCCCCATAATTCTCCCTATCACAGCTCTCATCCTTCCACCAGCATCCCCCAGGGCCACTGTTCCTTTCCACTCCCCTTCACATACCATAGCTCCACACATCACTCTGGTGGGTGAACCGCCGGCGAAGAATGGACTCCAATGCCATCCACTTGATGGGTACCTGGGAGAGCAGAGGAAGACGTCCTCCAATTGGGTGTGGTAGGGGAAATAGCCATTCTCAGAGTTCTCCCAGGGGCCCCACCCCCTTCACCCCACCTCACCCTGCTCCCTTGTCTGACCTTGCCCCCATCAGCATGATACTCTGTCTCATCAATGTCCAGCAGGCGAGCCAGCCCGAAGTCTGTAATCTTGACATGGTTGGGACTCTTGACCAGCACGTTCCGTGCAGCCAGGTCCCTGTGCACAAGCCGCACATCCTCCAGGTAGCTCATCCCCTAGAACAGCAGGCACCGGTGTGGACCCCATCCTAGCCCCATGTGGAGGCAGGAATTTGGTCCCAAGGGATCTGTAGGGCCCAGGCCCTCTGAGTATGTACCTTGGCGATCTGTACACACCAGTTGAGCAGGTCCTGAGAGCCCAGGCGCCCTCGGTGTTCCCGAACATGGTCTAGGAGGCAGCCATAGGGCATAAGCTGTGTCACCAGCTGCACTGTGGATGTCAGGCAGATGCCCAGGAGGCGGGAGACATATGGCGAGCCCACACCAGCCATCACGTATGCTTCCTGGGGATAAGGCTTCACTGAGAAGCTACAAGGGACCACAAACGCCCAACCACCATGCACCCTGCCTTGAGGGGCCACCACAACCATCACAACCACAAAGGTTAAGAGCCCAGGTTTAGGGAATCACATCTTTCCAAACCCCAGAAAAGAGAGCCCAGAACCCCAGCCTGCAGCTGCAGGGTCCTTCCTGTACTCCCGGCAGGACAGGGTGGAGGAGCTTACGTCCAAGATTTCTTTGTTGGCTTTGGGGGATGTGTTTTCCCTCAACACTTTGATGGCCACTGGGATTTTCACATTCTCCCCATCAGGGATCCAGATGCCCTGGGCAGAAAGAGGAAGAGGTGAGCGGAGAAGAGTGTGGGTCAGATCCAACCTGCCTGCCAGGATCTGTACTGTACCTGTACTGTACCTGTACTGTACCTGTCACTCTTTGTACTCTGAACATCCTTCCCCCAACTCCAGGCCTGCCCGCCTCCCTCTGCCCTTGTTCCTGCCTCTGTAACTGCCCTCTCCCAAACAGCACTGCCCCCAGCCCTTGTCCCTCCCTTGTCCCTTAGGAACTCCTGACCATAGCCCTCCAGGCACTCTACCCCACCCTCTGGGACCTCCCACCAAAGGAAAAGCCTGTACCCTGACCTTGTAGACTGTGCCAAACGCTCCAGATCCAAGCACCTTCACCTTCCTTAGTTCTGTCTCTTTCAGAATCCGCATCTGAGCCTGGTTGGGCATCGCTCCACTTGGTGTCAGCGGCTCCACCAGCTGGGGTGAGGGAGTGGAGGGTCAGTGCTGGGTGCCACTGTAGACCCTAGGCAGGCTGGGAGGCCTTCACACCACCTCACCTCTGTTTCCTGCAACAGCCTCCGCATCGTGTACTTCCGGATTTTCTGCTGCCTTCGCTTAATTAGGATCCCAGCGACCAGCCCCAAGAGCACGACCAGCAGAGTGCCCACCACGGCAGGGATGATGTACGGCAGAGGGCTGGGGGCGGGAGTTAGAGTCAGAGATTGGAGGCCAGGCCGGGGTAGAAGAGACAAAGGGGGCCCATGGGCAGACACAAAGGTCCTTGGTATTGGGAAAGGGAAGCTAGAAGGGTGCCCCACAGCTCTGACCCTCTCTTTCCTACTTGACAACTTGCCTTGGCTCCCCTCTGCCTCCACAATAAAGTCCAAACTTCTTGCAGTCATTTTAAAGCCCTCTCTATCCACATCTCCAAATTCTCTCTGCTCTTGCCCGTGGCTCTAGCTCAAGGCTCTAAAACTTCATGGTGTAAAAATCACCAAAGAGCTTATTAATACAAATGCTCTTTCAACTTCCATTGGGGCTATGTCTATGGCTTAGGATAAACCAGTGTAAGTTGAAAATAGTATCAATCGAAAATGTATTTAGACACCTAACCTACCTTAAGTGTGCTCAGAACATTTAAACTGCCAACAGCCTACAGTTGGGCAGAATCATCTAACACAACACCTGTTTTATAATAAAGTGTTGGGCATCTCCTGTAATTTACTGACTACTGTACTGAAGGTGAAAAAGAATGGTTGTACAGGTACTTAAAGTATAATTTCTAGTGAATACATATTGCTTTCACACCATTGTAAAGCTGAAAAATCATAAGTAAAGTGATTATAAATTGGAGACTGTCTGTACAGTTCTGGAGCCCTACGCCCAGAGATTCTGACTGCTGCATGGGGTGGGGCCCAGGAATGTACACCAAATGATTCTGATGTTCTAGCCAAATGTTTCACCCCTAGGTCATGATTTTCCATACTTCCTAGCCTTTGCACGTGCTAGTCCTTCTCCTGGACTACAATTTCTCCATGGAGTCTTCTTTTCAGACTCACCTCATCTTGGGATAGATGGAGCTCTGATCATTGACCTGATATTCTTGTCATCCTGTCCCCTCTGCAACCTGCCCCCTTGCTTAGCACAGGGCTTAGCACACAGTAAACCTCTAATTCATGTTTGCTTTTTTGTTTTTTCAAAGACAGAGTCTCACTCTTTTGCCTGGGCTAGAGGGCAGTGACATCATTATAGCTCACTGCAACCTCAAACTCCTGGTCTAGCAATCCTCAAGTACCTCTGCCTCCAAAGTGCTAGGATTACAGGCATGAGCCACAGCCTCTGGCCTGCATGCTTGTTTTATGGACGATTGCCTAGGTCAGACTCCAGTCTGATTTTCTCCCCTTCCAGAAGCTCCCCTCTGCTCGGACAATCAAGTCCAATGCCATGGCCTGGTGGTCTGGGCCTATGCCCTGCAGATCTAGCCCTGACCTGACTCCAACTTGACCCCTTTCCCCCCACCTCTGGGCTTACTCAACAGCCTACCACACCAGAACTCTTGAACACATCCTAGATTTTCCTGACACCTCCCACAATGCCAGCTTGCTCCCCAGTGCTTTCCACCTCAATGCAAGTGAAATACCTGCCTCCCTTTTAAGGCCTGGCTCAAATTCCACCTCCTTGAAGCCCCTGCCATCCCGTTAAGAATTCATGGTTCCCTCCTCCATGCTGCATTTTTCTCAATCTACCTTGAGTTCCAAAGAATCAAACTTTGCCTGTGTCCCTCACAAGGTATCAGGCTGCTCCAGCGTGGGGAAGTACTGGCTGTCTTAGCCATTTTTTCCCTGCAGCCCCCCAAGCATCCTGAGTAGGTCTGTGTCCACTTATAGAAGCAAACTGAAAGGAGGATCCACAGTGGGAAGGGATGTGTGTCATGTCAGGAGACCCCACCCCACCATAGCAGTGACCACACAGGGTCCAGTGGTACAGTGAAGGACAATGGGGGGACATCCCAGGGACCAGGCCAACCTGGCTCTCTGCTCAGCGGGGCAGCCCTTGTCATCCAGGTCCACGCAGCTGCAAGAGAAATAGTTTCATCAACAACTCTGGGAACCACCCTCCTGGGCTCAATCCAGCCTCCCTTCCTCCCTCCCCCCAGAGGTGGGTGTGGCTGGGTTATTATGCCCATTTGACAAAGGCAGAAACTGGGCTCAAGTTCCCCAGTGCTCTTTCTACCAACCCCACCAAGGGGTATCTTCTCCAGCCTGGAAACCTGTATCCCCTATACCTTGGGGATGGGTGGGAAGGGGGGCACCAGAAGAGCATCATTTCCAAAAGCTCAGCCCTTCCCTCCATACCCCAGCACAACTTCTCTGAGGCAGTCTGGCCACACCTATTAAATAATGGCTATGATCCAGCAGTTCCACTCTCAATATATACCCTAAAAATGCCAACACCTGCACACTCAGGGACAGGCACAAGGATGCTCACTAGTACATGGAGCTCAACTGTTTCCTTTTTTGTGGGAAAAAAGGAAACAAGCTCCTTGAAATAGGGACAGGAGTAAACTGCATTCATGCTACAGAGAGAGCAGTTTAAAGAAAGGAGATAAAACCATACATACTTACAAGAAAAGATGCACCAAGTGGAAGAAGAAAGCAAAGTACCAAACAATATATAGAGACAGTATGGTCTCATTTACATTAAAAAATGCACATACACAAAAATATCTGATTATACATTAAGTGGAACTATATAAAATGGCTGTTTCATGGTTTGGGTCCCACCTGTCACCCAAGCCAGAATGTTTTGGCCTAATCATAGCTCATTGTAACCTTAACCTTCTAGGCTCAAGTGATCCTCCCAGCTCAGCCTCCCAAAGTACTGGGATACAGGCATGTGCCACCACACCCAGCCTGAAGTTGCTGTTTCTTGACCATTTTTGACTTAGACTAACAGCAATCTTATATGACTCAGCCTAATATAAATGCAGTATATATGTGTAGGTATGGAGAGAAAGGCCTGGAAGAATGCACTCTCCAAAATTAATGGGAGGGGAAAGATTGGGTGGGCAGGGAAAGGCGGCAAAAAGATATGTTTTCTTTGAACATTTATACTTATATGTTGCTGAAAATGTTTATCACAATATTGTACTCATATGTTTCCTGTGTCAAAACAACTAAATGAGAACAATTAAAATAAGTCAGATCACTGTGTTGGAAAAAGGGAAAACACTGCAAGATTCCGTTAAGTGATAAAAAGCAATTTCCAAACATATGTATGGCCTATGATCCCATTTTAGTAAAAAGAAATATATGTTAGGAGGTGCACAGATAGAAACAACTAGAGAATAATATATATTAACATATATAGTTTATATATGAAAAATAATATGTTAGAATGTGCACAGATTAAAAACAATTGGATAATATATAATATTAGCATACTTATTTTTACATAATAATATATAGAGGTGTCAAGAAATGTATGACTTTTTTTTTTTGAGACAGTCTCACTCTGTTGTCCCAGGCTAGAGAGCCATGGCATCATCATGGCTCACAGCAATCTCAAACTCTTGGGTTCAAGTGATCCTCCTGCCTCAGCCTCCCAACTAGCTGGAATTATAGGCAAGCATCACCAGGCCCAGCTAATTTTTCTATTTTTAGTAAAGACGGTCTCACTCTTGGTCAAGCTGTTCTCAAACTCCTGAGCTCAAGCAATGTTCTTGCCTGAGTCTCCCAGAATTACAAGCATGAGCTACCACACCCAGCCATGTGTATGCATTTTAAGAAAGGAAAAAGCTGTATTCAAATTCTAATACTCAGGCAGTGGTTCACGCCTATAATCCTAGCACTCTGGAAGGCCAAGTTGGGTGGATTGCTTAAGCTCAGGAGTTCAAGACCAGCTTGAGCGAAGAGCGAGATTCTGTTTCTTTCTTGATTTTTTTCTTAAGCGATAAAATTAAAAAAAAAAAAAAAATTGACTCTGCGCCTGTGAGTCAAGCGGCTAAGGCGCCAGCCACATACACCTGAGCTGGTGGGTTCGAATCCAGCCCAGGCCCACCAAACAATGACGGCTGCAACGAAAAAATAGCCGGGCATTGTGGCGGGCGCCTGTAGTCCCAGCTACTTGGGAGGCTGAGGCAGGAGAATTGCTTGAGCCCAGGAGTTGGAGGTTGTTGTGAGCTGTGATGCCACGGCACTCTACCCAGGGGGACAGCTTGAGGCTCTGTCTCAAAAAATAAAATAAAATAAAATAAAATAACTGAAGAGAAATTTTCCAAATTGTTAATAATAGGGATAAAACTGTTGGTGACGTTAATTTATATTTTATGTTTTAATTAAAAAATTTGACAACATGTGTTACTTTTGTGATCAGAAAAAAAGATAAGAAAAAGGTCGCATGGTCACCCTTTACAATAACAGCCTTCCTAAAAGGGAAGCTCTCCTTTGTGTAGAAAAGGCTCCCAGACTCACGAGTGTGTGCAGTTGATGGGGCACAGCTGGCATGTGCCCTCCTCATCTGGAAACTTCCAGATGGGCATATAGGAGAGGTCAGGTTTCACACCGCTGGGGCAGCGAGCCACACAGTAGGGAGAGTCCTTGTAGTGGGCACAGGCCACACACTGGTCAGCCTCCTGCATGGGGAGAATAGGTTTGTGGGGGACTGGCGCTAAGACCAACAGGGATCAGGAGTTTGGGTCCCCTTCATGCTTCCCACAGCCACCTAGCAGCAATTTCATCCTGCTCCTGGGATAAACACCCTGACTACTCTTCACCCAGTCTCTGGGGACCGTCCCACAGGGGCCCTCCTTCAAGCCTGGTCCCAGGTGGGGGCCTCAGATGAAGAACTGGAGGTGCCCAGAGAGTGAACTAAGTTATTTAAGGTGTAACAGCGAGTAACAACAACTACTTGGCAGAAGGCCCTTTCAGTGCTTAGGCACTGTACCTAACCCCGTTTCACTTCATTCTCAACATACCCCAGTGAAGTAGGTGTTATTACCATATTCATTTTAAGGATATGAAAACTAGGGCGATGCCTGTGGCTCAGTGAGTAGGGTGCTGGCCCCATATACCGAGAGTGGCGGGTTCGAACCCAGCCTCGGCCAAACTGCAACAAAAAAATAGCCGGGGGTTGCAGCAGGTGCCTGTAGTCCCAGCTACTCGAGAGGCTGAGGCAAGAGAATCACCTAAGCCCAAGAGCTGGAGGTTGCTTTGAGCTATGACGCCACAGCACTCTACCGAGGGCAACAAACTGAAACTCTGACTTTAAAAAAAGAATAAGAAAACCAAGTTTGGAAATAGGGCCTGAATTTGAATCCAGGTAGTCCAACGCCTGAGCTGGCAGGTCTAACCATCTTAGCACAGCCACAGGCAGGAACACAGGCCTCCTGGGACTTTTCACAGTCTGAAGGAACACAGTGCCTAAGCACTGAAAGGCCCCCAGCTCCCTGCTTTTTCCACCCTCCTCTAGCACACCCTGTAACTTCTCCCCATCCTGGTAGATCCCTGGCAGTCCCCCATCCTTCCCTCAACCCAGCTCAGAGCCCACCAGCACCTCACCGATCCAAAGCAGGTCACTGAGCCATTCTGGGGCTGACACTCGGGATGGCATGGTAGACAGTGCCTGCCATCCACATACTCCCTGGGAAGCCTGAGAGAAGGGACAGTGTTGAGCGAGTCTGGAAGGAGCCCTTGTGCACCCCTCCAGCCACCCAGCTCCTCTACCCTGCATACCCCTGCAGTACTCGGCATTCCTCCACGCACTCCTGGCCCCGAAGGAACTGGCTGCAGTTGACACACTGGGTGGGTCCTGGACCCCAGCAGTGCCCATGGGCACATAGTGAGTAGCAGCCTAGGTTCTCACCTACTGCAGTGAGGAGGAGAAGACCAGAAGGGACTCTTAGGGGAGACCCCAGATCAAAGTGAACTAGGGGAAAGAGCTGGGAGCATGGCTCTGGGATGGAAGGGTATGCACCACCCCCTGTGTATATTGGCCAGTGCAGAGAGAGGGACAGTTCTGAGACTCCAGCAACAGAGAGGGGAAGGAAAGGCTACCAAGGCAGTATGGAAGGACCCAGCTAGAAGCCACACCAACAGGCCAAGCCAGACAGAGTTCAATCAAGATCAGTACACCAGAAACAGGCAGTCTGCACAAGTCCAGGAAAGCTGCTGCCAGGGCCTTGGGCATGCCAGTGTCTGGCAGCTGGGGGCATGTGGCACCAGGCTCCCTGACTTACCACACTCGTTCTCTGGCCGGTTGGCTGTGTGGAGCAGAGCCTGGTGCGGGTTCCGGAAAAGCTGGTCCCAGGGCACCGTGTGGACGAAGCAAAGGCGGGCGTTTCGGTGGATGAGAACCAGCCCGCTGCCCAGCTCCCGTAGCGAGCGCAGCCCCAGCCAGCTGATGCCCAGCCCTTGCAGGGTCAGTGAGTAGGCACCACTATGGGAAGAAGGGTGCTCAGCTACAGGGGGGCACCTTACTACTCACCCCTTCCCTGTCACCAAGGGCTGCCTGCTCCTTTCTCCTGTCCCCAGTACATTCTGCAAGTTCTCATGGAAAGATTACTGCTTTGTCCCTGGGGAACAGCAATATGCCCCTATGCCCAAAGCCTCTTACAGGGACTCTCCCCTCTCGGGCCCCCTCTCCCCTCTACTCACTCATGGAGAACTCGTCCCCGGATTACTTGAAGGTTCTGGAAAACACTGAGGTCAGGCAGACTGTCTGGCCATGCTGAGATGTATAGGTAACCTGCAGGTAGAGGGTGAGATTGGGTACAGGGAAAGGGCAATGACCCCCAGCCCCTGTGGAGCAGGATTCAGAGAGGCAGGGCTCACCTGTGATCTCCTCCAGACTCTCAAACACTCGGAGCTGCTCTGGCTGGAGGGGGGCAATGTTGGAGGCTGGGTCCCTAGAAGAATCAGAAGAGTGAGCAGGGCCATGAAGGGAGTGGGCACCCCCAAGACCAGGAGCTGTCACCCCACCTCCCAGCCCACCATTAATGCCTTCGATTAAACCCTTTGCTGATCAGGCCCGGCTGTTCCCATTCTGAAAGTCAAAGCCCAGACCTTGTTTGGCAGGATCTACAGAAACAGTCTTTCTATCCCTTTGATCCAGAAATCTTACTTCTAGGAATGTGGCCTACAGAGACACTGGCTTCTGTTCCCATTCCCATGTGCAGGGCAGAACTGTTTGTAAGATGGAAAACTGAAAATGAGGCCGGGCATGGTGGCTCATGCCTGTAATCCCAGCACTCTGGGAGGCTGAGGCGGGTGGATTGCTTGAGCTCATGAATTCGAGACCAGCCTGAGCAAAAGCAAGACCCTGTCTCTACTAAAAATAGAAAAACTGAGGCAAGAGGACCACTTGAGCCTGAGTTGGAGGTTGCTGTGAGCTGTGACGCGACGGTACTCTACCCAGGGTGACAGCTTGAAACTTGGTCTCAAAAAACAAAAAAGAAAAGAAAAAGAAAAAAAAGAAAACTGAAAATGACCTAAATGCTAAATGTCCATCAGGAAATAGGAGAGCTGGGCAGCCCCTGTGGCTCAAAGGAGTAGGGTGCCGGCCCCATATGCCGGAGGTGGCAGGTTCAAACCCAGCCCCAGTCAGAAACTGCAAAATAAATAAATAAATATTAAAAAAAAAAAAAAAAAGAAAAAAGAAAAGAAAGGAAGAAATGGGTGAGCTGGTAAAACCCTGTTCTATCCAGACCGTACAATAAAAACTAACATAGGAGTGCTTAGTATCTGCCAGGCAGGTACTGTTCAAAAAGTGTTACAAATATTAACTCATTCAAGTTTTAGTACTACCTTATGAGGTAGGGACTTTTCTTGCCCCCATTTACAGAGGAAGAAATTGAGGCACAACAGGAAGGTCATGTGTCTAGTAAGTGGTAGAACCAAGTTTCAAACCCAGGCAGTCTGGCTCTCAAGTCTGGGTTTTTAGCTGCCTTGCTTTGCTGCCACCTGCCCCACAGCTGTTGAAAGAATAAGGTAGCTGGACTAGCTCTCCAAAGCAAGGGCAGAGAGTTCCCGACACACGTGTACGTGAACCAATCTCTCCAGCAAAACAATTACAACTGTATTGTGTGTGTCTACATATGTATAAATGGTATAAATGGACACACACAGACTTACCAGTGGTATCTTCCGGAAAGGGGAATAGAAGTAAAGGAAGTGTAAAAGAGAATCTTCTTTCTTTAATGTGTTTTTTTTTTTTTTTTTTTTTTTCGGAGACAGAACCTCAAGCTGGGGCTGGGGTTGCCTTGGATAGAGTGTCCTGGCATCACAGCTCACAGCAACCTCCAACTCCTGGGCTCAAGCAAGCCTCCTGCCTCTGCCTCCCACACAGCAACCTCCAACTCCTGAGCTTTAAGTGATTCTCATGCCTCAGCCTCCCAAGCCAGGACTACAGGTGCCCACCACAACACTCATCTATTTTTTGGTTGTAGATGTCATTGTTGTTTGGCAGACCCGGGCTGGATTTGAACCTGCCAACTCTGGTGTTTGTGGCTGGTGCCTTAGCTGATTGAGCTTCAGGTGTGGAGCCTATTCATTCACCTATTGATGTACACTTGAGTTATTTCTAATTTGGGGCTATTATGAATAAAGTTTCTGTGAACTCAGAGGGGCCCAGGGTTCAGTCGGCAAGGGCGCCGGCCACATACACCTAGGGTAGTGGATTCCAACCTGGCCCAAGTTTGCTAAGCAACAATGACAACTGCAACCAAAAAAAATAGCCAGGTGTTGTGGTGGGTGCCTGTAGTCCCAGCTACTTGGGAGGCTGAGGCAAGAGAATTGCTTAAGCCCAAGAGTTGGAAGTTGCCGTGAGCTGTGATGCTACAGCACTCAATTCAGGGTGACAGCTTGAGACTCTGTCTCAAGGAAAAAAAAAAAGTTTCTGTGAACTGACAGGGAATTTTACTTTATCAAGATGGTTTGCCCTCCACAAGTTCATGTTCAAGGATAACTTATCATTTATAAAAATAATGCCCCCCCCCCAAGTTCCTGCTCCCTCTGGTCTCCCACCACCTACTTTTACATTCCTGGCCTCCCCCATCTGTCTCCCACTATCCCCCAGAGATGCTGCCACATCTGGGTCCTCGGGAATCTGTGTCTGTCCTGACACTGCCTCAGGCCACTGTGCCCACTCTTACCCATCAAAACTCTCCAGCAGAAATGCTAGGCTCCCAAAGATCTTCTTGCAGCCAGCAAACTCCTGGATGTTGGCGCTGGTGACAGCCCTCACCTCCCGCAGGTGCTCCATGCCCAGACCATAGCACACTGTGGGAATTGGGGGGCAGGTGGTGAGGGGCCATCTCAGCCATCTAGTGGGACTGGTCTGCAGCCACATGGGCACCAAGGTCCTGTCTGCAGTCCCTGCCCGGAGTCACAGCCCCCCACCACCACCACACTGACAGGAGATATGGGGAAACTTTTAGGACTGGGCAGGGCCAGGGGCAAAGACAGTGGCAGAAAAGGACTGGGTGCCAAGATGGTGTGAGAACAAAGTGAGACAGGGTGGGCTGGGCCAGGCTGGCTGTGCGGAGGAACAGGAAGTTCAGCTGGCCCAGGGAGCGGTGTGTGGGCACCTCGGGCACAGGGCTTGCTGCACTTCTCACAACGCTGTGTTCCATCCTCGGCTGTCACCTCTTGGTTGTGCAGAGGGCAGACCAGGGTGCAGGATCCTACATCCGTAGACAGGTAATTGTCTGAGGAGATAAGGATCATGTAACCATGTACCACAGCCCTTCATGTGCCACCATGAGCAGAGTCACCGTGCCCAGGGATAGTAAGAATAAAATTAATCAATACTTAGGAGCCCTTACTATGTGTCTGAGCACTTGATATTCATATGCACCTTACAACAATCGTGTGTGATCAGCACTGTTGGATTTCCATTTTGCAAAAAGGGAAACCAAAACACAGAGTTATATAAATTATTCAAAGTCATTGTGCTAGTAAATAGAAGAACCCAAATAGTCTGGTGTCTTCTCGCCTACCACAAGAAGGTACAGCCCCGACCCGAAGGCCCCCTCCTATTTCCGTGAGAAAAGGAAAGGGAATCCCCAGGTCTAAGCTCAGTCTTGAAATCCCCATCAGTAAACAGGGGAGCTGTTAAATATAACCCTGACCTATCCAAACCACAGTATATAAACCAATATTTAGGAGCACTCAGGATATACGGGGCACTGTTCTAAAAGCTACACTAATATTAACTCATTCGAATTTCATATGAAGTTGAGATTATTCTTCCCCCCATTATACAAATGAGGAAACTGAGGCACAGCAAGGGGAAGGCCACAAAACTACTAAGTGGTAGAGCCAGGTTTCAAACCCAGGCAGTCTGGGCTCTTAGCTGCCTCTCCCTGCTGCCACCTGCTCCATAGCTTTTGAAAGAAAAAGGCTAGGCTCGGCGCCCATAGCTCAGTGAGTAGGGCGCCGGCCACATACACCAAGGCTGGCGGGTTCAAGCCTGGCCCGGGCCTGCTAAACAACAATGACAATTGCAACCTAAAAATAGCCGGGCGTTGTGGGGTGCACCTGTAGCCCCAGCTACTCAGGAGGCAGAGGCAAGAGAATCACTTAAGCCCAAGAGTTGAGGTTGCTGTGAATTGTGACGTCACAGCACTCTACAGCGACAAAGTGAGACTCTGTCTCAAAAAAAAAAAAGAAAGAAAGAAAGAAAGAAAGAAAGAAAGAAAGAAAAAGGCTGCTCCACACGAACTGCCATGACGGTTCCCCAAAGCAAGGGGCAGAAAGTATTCACAATACGCTGTTATTTGCATAAATCAGTCACCCAGCAAAATGATGAAAATTGTGCTTCTCTGTGGTACTCACAGGGACAGGCAGTCACACAGCTGGCACCAAATGTATAACGGCCCTCAGGGTTGGGCATGGACTCGAAGGTGTCTGTGTTATAGGTGACCAGGGCTGGGCAATGCAGCTCACAGATGCCACTGTGGTTGAAGTGGAGGCAGGCCTGAGGGGACAGGCAGCTGGTTATCACTGAACTGCTTTCCCCTCGTATGCCAGGGGCAACAGGGCAGTACCAGGCAGGGTGCCCACCCTCCCCTCCAAGGGTGGGGCCCAGCAAGCACAGGGCAGAGGCACGTACCAGGCAGTCAGAGTGCTTGGGGCCCGTGCAGCCGGCAGCACACTGCTCATGGCAGCAGTCAGTGGGCAGCCGGCCCTTGCAGCGGGCACAGCCACTGGCACAAACGGTGCGTGTCACTGTTGGACAAAGGACAGGAAGAGGGTTGAGCAGCAGCCAGCACCAGATCCTCACCAGCACCACCTTCTAGGGAGATCTGCCCCAGGGACGACCCCTCAGGCCTGTTATCCTGCCCCTCCCACGTCACCTGTGTTCCACCCTGCCCCAGTACCCCGACTCTAGGCCTCCCTGAAACTCACAGGTCTGACAGTCCTCAAAACTTTCTCCCCAGCAGTGGGAGGCTTTACAAGCTGGAGAACAGGGGTTGCCTGTGGAGACAACCAGAGAGAGGCAGTGACGGAGATGTCCGACAGCCAGAGGACGGGTTAAGAATGGGGAGAGACACAAACAGCAACAGAGGCCACGTGACAGAAAGCACAGTGAGGGAGGGACCCAGACAGGAAAGGAGGGCACCAAAACTGGAGACATGACCTAGAAGCGGAGGGAGAGGGGACATTGAACCACAGAGACAAAGAGATGCAGAGGGATGGCAGGAGGGACTGAGAGAGAAGTGATGTGGCAGTGTCTGAGGCAGGGGCAGCCAGGGCAGGAGGTGTAAGTCAGGAGTTGGGGTCAGGTGGTCTGTCTGAGAGAAGTGGCTGCAGGCAGGGAAGAGTGGGGCTTACAGGCCCTCGAACGGGTGCTGTCTATCTGCATGGCAGCCAGCTGGTTATTCTTGTGGAAGATGTCCTCCCATAAAACCGTGTCCTGGTGGCAGAGCTGGGGGTTCCGCTGGATCAAGACCCCTCCTTTCAGGATCTCTGTGGGGTGGGCAGTAATGAGGGAAGCCTCTCCCCATCTAGCACCTCTGTCCTCCCTTGGGGCCCCCTTGCTTTCTAAAAGCGGAGCAGGTCTTTTAACCAAACCCCAGGAACCCCTGGGAGGAGAGAAGATATCTCCAGCATCTTCTAGCCCTTTGTCCCACCCCCAACGCATACACATGAATACAGTGAGACCCAGGGAAGACCCACTGTATCCACATCAAGGTCCGGATGTCCATGTGAACACGAGCTTTCGCCTTCCCTCTCTCTTCTACCCTGTGTGCACACTGCTTAGTGGGTAAAAGGGAGACTGTGGGGTCTGAAACCCAGGCCCACCGCTAACTAGCTATATAATCTCTGTCACTTATCCTCAGCAAGCCTCAGTTTTCTCATCTGTAAAATGAGAATGACACTGATGCTTCCCTTGTGGGACAATAGCATGACTGAGATGGAGTTGCGCATACAAAGCCCCGGCACCCAGAGTTAGGGACACTGTCAGCTCCAGGGCTGCCACATACAGTTACACAGGTGGCTCACTGCACACTTGTACTCAGCCAAGTGGGAGCAAAACCCCAACCTGCATTCCAATGATTAAATTATACATGCTGATACAAGCTGCAACTTCCCAGGAAGAGGGGAAATCTTTTCTAATCTTCTCAGGACATCTTCCCCGGTTCTGTCTGTGTCCGCCCACAGGGGATACCATTTCTAATTTACACAAAGCCTCCCCATAGCTAGCAGTGGCCCTGGTCAGCTCTGAATAACCAAGATGGTGAAGGCCACCTGTGAGGCTTCTTAGCTGTAGCTCTCGCAGCCCTTCTGGGGAGGCCCCTGTGGCAGGGGTGGCATTGTCCAGCAGGTCTCCATTGTCAAGCACGGCCAGGGCATAGCTGTCCTCAAAGAGCTGGGTGCCTCGCACAATCCTCAGCCTCTGCAGCGGGATCTGCCTCACTCGGTTGTGAGCAATGAGCACATAGCCCTGCACCTCCTGGATGTCCTGGGAGGGAACAGAGCAGGGCGAGGCTGAGGCAGGCTGGGGCCCTAGAACGCAACCATCCCTCAAGGCCTCCTTGGGACCTTCCGGTGCTTGGGGATCTTGGGGGATCTCAAGCAAGGCCCCCAGCCAGTAAGCAGCCTGCTCCCTCATACATAAAATGGACATCAAGGCCGCTCCCCACCTTGCCTCACCAGATTCTTGTATGATCAAGAAAGATAATGGTGGGGGAGCGTTTTAGATTGTGAGTTAGTGCCCCACCCTCCCTGCATCTCAGTTTCTTCATCTGTAAAAGGAAAAGCCTGGACGAGATGACATCTGCAGTTTAACAGAACAAGCAACACACACGTGGCCCCACTCCAGCACCCAGGACACACCCCAGCAGGCTGGTTTTCACTCTCTGCTGCTAATAACCTTTTCACAGAAACTCCTTTTTTAATCTTCACAATGGGTGTCCTGGGATGCCTACTGCTTCCAAGATCCAGACAGGGAAACTGAGATTCAGTGAAGCTAAGGGTCTAGATCACATTCATATGACTCATCAGTGGTAGAAGTGGACCAGCAACCCACATCTCCCACATAGGCAGGACAGAGATAGTGGCTGGGGCAGTGGAACAGGGGGAAGTGATGGTGCTGGTAAGAGAGAGTGCAAAATTTAGCAGAAACACAGATGCATCCCATCCAGAGATGTCCATGGCCAGCCACATGATAGAGAGAGAGTTGACTGACTTTATAGTAGATCACCGGATGGGGGTTAGACATCAGAAAGGACTTTCTGGTCAAGGAAACACAGCAAAAGAGGAAATATAGGGAAGGGGCACCTTCTTCTACCACCCACCCATAATCAGAGGGCTCAGCCCAGATGGAGGCAAGGCTTCACTAGGTCAACCATGGGCCTCACCTGCAGAAAGGAGAGGCTGGCATTGGCGGGCAGGTAGGTGAGTTCCAGGTTACCCTGCACCACCTGACAGCCCTGGTAGAGGTGGCGGAGCATGTCCAGGTGGGTCTCAGGACTGGCTGGGAGTCGCAGCTTCATGTCTGTGCCGGTGCACACTGGCAAGAGGGAGAGGCTGGATCAGGGGACATTGCCCAGTGACATTCTCTCACCTGGCCGCCCATCCCCACATACTCCCCAGAGTCATGCTGCCTCAGACAGGGAGAAAGCATGACTGAAGGACCCCTCCTGCCCCCTCCCTTGCTCCTGAAGAGTTAATAGCACAAGAAAGCTTGTGTGTTTGGGAAGAAGAGGGACATCAGAGGAGAGGCTCCTTCTGGCTGAGCCCACCCTGAGCATTCAATGGGGGACCCAGTGAGCCAGCCCTATGGAGCCTGCAGCCAACTCAGGGTGTTGACTGGCAAAGAAAGCCTCTCTTTGTCCCAAAGGCACAACTCAGGGCCAAGGGGTAAAAATCCCCCAAGAGAGGCGATGATGAATCATGGATACTCCGGATACCCCCTGCCCCTCTCCCAAGCAAACTTCGGGCATTCTCCCTATGCAATTCCAACACACCCACATGGCAACCTTCCGGCAATGAATACCACCCCCGTAGTGCCACCCATAAAGTGGGGAAGGAGTGTCAGCTGTAGCCATAGCTGGGGTATGGACGCCATCAGGGACCTGGTGCCTGCAGAGACCTCTGGAACTCCCCCATGCAGGGAAAAGGAACATCAGACTCCAGTTGTGGGCATTCGGACTCTGGCTGCAGAGCCTGAGTCAGGGAGATGCGTGCTCCAAAGGTTTATGCCCTGGCACCCTCACCATCTCCTCAGGGCAAGACTCCAGAACCAGCTGGCAGAATCTGTGCCATGAAACTCCTGCCACAAAGGCACTACGTCAGCCCTGTGGACCTGCCCAGCACCAGCCATCAGTCAAGGGGCATCAAGGTGAACTACCATACATGGCCCACCTGGACCCCAACTTAGTGTCCCTGGGACCACAAGTACCCACTACACCACAAATACTAGAGGGGTAAATTACCCCTGGTGAGAGGGCCTCTGGGTAGCAGCTAGTGCCACGTTTGCCAGCAGGGGGGAGATTACAGTGCCCAGTTGAACTTGTTTTTCTGCTCTGGTAAGAAGATGAATCACCTGGTGTGTCTTGCCCAGGAGGTTGGGCTGGAGGGTGGGGGTGTGGAGGGCACCCTCAGATCCACAGACACACAGGTAGGTGCCTGAGCTGCTTGGCATTCCTGTCGGTCACTGCTCTACCTCCTACAGATTACATGCAATTCAGGGACAGTACAAAGACTGGCTCTGGGGTCTGACACCAGAGGCCCCGCTCTCCCAGAAACTTAGAGCCTCAAGTCAAATCCTAGGGGAGCATGAGATGCACTCCTTCCTCCAGAGAGCTGGGGCAAAGCAGGTAGGGCAAGCTTCCAGGTCCCACCAGCCTGAGCCAATGGCCTCAAACTGGTGGCTTCCCAGTGGCACCCACAGTGGTCTCTATTCCTGCCCCATGAGAAGATAAGAAAGGAAGCAAAGAGGGAGGAAGGGGAGAGCCCAGAAATAGAACTCCAGGGTCCATGTCCCAGCTGGGGGACAGTGGAAAGGGAGATTTCAGGCCTCCCCACTCCTCCACGCCTCAGCCCCTTGCACCCCCTCCCCCTGCAGCCTCCCAAGAGAAAGAGAAGCTGGGGGTGACAGGCCAGGCCCAAAATAACGCCCTGCTGCCAGGACCTCCCCCGCCTTGGGCTTCAGCTGCTTTATAGGCACAGCTGTCTCCAGGCCCAGACCCCAGGCCCTGGCCAAGCCCAGTATCCCTGCAGGGCTGGGGCAGGGGATGACTCCACCCCCTGTAGCTCTTTCCAAGGGACACCAGCTGGGGCAGCTAGGCAGTAGGAAAACAACAACAATGGGACCACAGTGCAGCCACCTTAACTGGGGCCCAAGCACCTATCCTGCATGCCCAGCAGGCGCTCTGGGGGGATCTTCACCACATCCTCCAAAGATTAGGTCTGCAACCTCCATTTTGCAAAGAAGGAAATGACCTGGACGGGGTTAAATTCTCCTAAGGTCATAAAGCTTGTGAATAGTACAGGCAGAATTTGAACTCAAGTCTGTCTGACTTTAGATCCCACATTCCTTCCACTTGGCCTAACTGCACACACACAAATACACCCCCACGCTCCATGCCAACATAAATACACGCTAACTCTCCTAACATTACAGACTCCAGGCAGGGCAAGGTGGCTGGGCTGAGAGGGAGGGTCAGAAAGGGTTGTAGCCCTGCCCCACTAGTTTGTTTACCTGATTTGTGGCTGATTTAAGTCCGATTAGGATTCTTAAAGTGTTTTGCAGACAGGTTGGTGAACTGGTGACCTAAGCCCAATTCCCAGGGAGCTGCAGGCTTGCTGGCGCATACCCCCACTTGGTGAGGTGACACCAAAACCGCCTTGATACCTCCCTCCCATCCCCATCTCCTCATAAGTATCCCCCCACCAGTCCTCACCATGTCTACCCCCACCCCCACTGATTTTCTTGGGAGTAGAAAGTGCTAATTCCACACCGGGGTGTCCTTTGTCTCCAGACCCCTCCCCCTAAGGAGCACCAACCTATAACTTTCCAAGGCAAAGGCAGTTTGTGGCAGAACCAGCCCAGAGCCAGTGCTGGGCCCATGGAGATGCCAGATCTAAGTATTTGCTGAATGAGTGAATGAATGAGTAAATGAATTAAATCCAGCCAAGCGTCTCCAAATCTGGCTTGGTGCCCATAGCTCAGCGGCTAGAGCGCTGGCCACATATGCAAGGGCTGGCAGATTCAAACCCAGCCTGGGCCAGCTAAAGGCAACAATAACAACTACAACAAAAAAGTAGCCAGGCATTGTGGCAGGTGCCTATAGTCCCAGCTACTTGGGAAGCTGAGGCAAGAGACTTACTTAAGCCCAAGAGTGTGAGGTTGCTATGAGCTGTGATGTTACAGCACTCTATGAGGGCAACATAATGAGACCCTGTCTCAAAAAAAAAAAAAAAAGTCTCCAAACCAAAGGGGACCAGTTGAGGTCATCCATCCCTCTGCTCAGAGCTGGTCATGGTCCTTCATGTCCCTCCTGCTGGACTTTGGTGGTCAGGGTTTGGCCCCTGCCCTGGGGGTTCTCTCAAATGAGTTCTCTCCTCCACACCAGACCGCAAGCCCAGCTGCTTCTCTTGCTCCTAGCAGAAAAGCTGAGCTGAAAAGCTGATACTTCCTCTGGTTCTCGTGAATACTCCCAGTAAAACTACCTGCAGCCCTAAAGCTCACCTCACCCAGACCCATGGGCCCAGAGCCCATTCCAGTGATGCCAGGATCCACCCACCACATACACCTGGCATATGAGACCTGGTATCAGACCAGGGCCTGGGCTCGGGGTCTTCAGACCAGAACCGTAGCTCACCTTCTCACTGTATGACCTTGAGCAAGACCTTAGACCTCCAGGGCAGAAGCTAATCAGATTCATCTCCATGCACAGGAGACCTATGACTAGTGGACAGGCAATGAATGTTTACTGGCCTAAATTTGGCTGCAACAACGCTTACTCACTCGGAGAAGGTATATGAGAGTTAAGTGAGATAATGAATCTTGAAGCAGTCTGTAAACATGACAAGGTTTTATAAACAGAGCTGGGACAACACAAACATTAGCTATAACAATTCTCCCACTCCTTGAAAGAGCACACATCCCTTGTCCCGACCTCAGTCTCTTCCCAGGGGTAGGGAGAATAGATGGCCTAACAAAAGATAAAAGGACAGCGCAGTGGCTCAGGCCTGTAATCCTGTCACTCTGGGAAGACAAGACAGGTGGATTGCTTAAGCTCAGGAGTTCAAGACCAGCCTGAGCAAGAGCAAGACCCCATCTCTAAAAATAGCTGGGTGTTGGGGCAGGTGCCTGTAGTCCCAGCTACTTGGGAGGCTGAAGCAAGAGGATCACATGGGCCCAAGAGTTTGAGGTTGCTGTGAGGTATCACACCATGGCACTCTACTGAGGGTGACAAAAAAGAAAAAAAAAAAATGAAGGTATCACTACAGAAAAGCTTTTCACAAGTGGAGGTCAGCAAGGAAGGATCTCTTGGCAGATCATTCCATCACCCAAGGGCAGGCACAACTACTCTGGACCCCAACCCAGCCAGCTAGCTCCAGCCCCACACTGAGCCCTCATCCTTCTACTCTAGCTGTCTCCCTCACCCATAGCCCTGTGTGTTACTAGTCTCCACCACTCCTGCCCTCAGGCTCCTGCCATGCTGGGAGGCCCCAAGAGGAAAGCAGACATGGGCTGGACAGGATGGACAAGGAGTCCACAGCCAGGAAGGGAGCTCAGGGCTGCTCAACTCAATACCACTTTCTGGAGCCCACATACATGTATGGGAAGGTCATTCACCTCTGCTCCCTCCCATCTGGCCACCTGTCTGCCCCTAAAGCTTTTTCAGTCCACCCCTGTTGGCAAGAATAAGATTTTGACCACCCCTTAATATCTCCTCATTAGACACCAAAAATGCTCTGGACATTATTGGATAGCTGGGAAGTTTTGGATAAGTTGCTTTATTTCTCTTAATTTTAATTTTCTCACCTGTGTAACTAATTCATAGGATAGTTCAGAGATGAAATCAAACTAGGGATAAAGGCTAGCATATAGGAATCACACTGTACCTTTTCTTAAAAGTTAAGGGCAAGAGAGGTTTAGGTGGCAGGAATAAGGATAATCCCAAACCAAGAGAAAATAAAGTGTTTTGTCTTGACTCTGAAATACATTGTATTTTTTCAATTGTTTTTTCTTGAATATTAAAATGAGTACTTTCCCTTAGTAAAAAGAGAGGAGGTTATTGGGAGAATCATACTGCAATTAAAATATGACTGAGCTCTGCAAAATTAAAAGGATGTGTTTGTTGCAATTCACAAAACCTCAACCTCTAAGAAAGGATCTCAGCAAAACACAGACCAGAGCTCTGGCCTTCTCCCAGTTCTCCCCTTCTCCCACATTCCCCCAGCCCTCAGCCCTGGGATCTAATCTGGGTGCTAGAGGCAGCTGAGGGGTGCACTGCCTTTTTAACCGTCTCCACCACCACACACAGAGCAGTGCAGGTTAAGGGGTAAAGACAGGAGGAGGCCCCAGTCCAGAGAACTACCCTCAGATCCCAGCTTTGCTGCAACTGCCCCTCCCTGCCTGTCCAACTCCCAGGTCACAAAGACGAGGGCAGCTGCTCTTCCCTATAGCCCAGTCTGGCCTCACCCTACTCATCAGAAGGTCAGAGGTGAAGATGCCCTCCTGGGAAACAGGGAGGGGAAGGATGGGCTCAGGGAAGAAAAGAGCCTTCCCCCTAGAAGCAGGTGTGGGGCCATCTCCCGCTGTTTACAGCAGATCTGACCCAGCACCTTGAGGGAGTTCCTGGAGAGGACAGAGTTCAGTCTGTGTCCCCAAGTCGGCAGGGAGATTGCTGTTTGGCAACACAAAGCCCAGACACACAGACCACACAACTCAGGAACACCCTCGCATAGTCACGCTGCATCATAAACACACACACACAGATGCCCCTCAGATAGCACAGCACTGACAAAGGGCCCCCGGGCAGGCAACACACAGGCAAGATGACACTCACCCCCTAGCCAGACTCCCTCCTTGAGCTATGGAGACCACCCACTACTCCCAGAACACTCATTTTGTCTTCCCTATAACCCCGTGATTCTGGGAGCACTGTGCCCCATCATTCCAAGTAGATTAATACAGTGATTTCAAATGTGTGGTTGGGGGGTGTTGCACTGCCCCAGGGTCCAATCTGTGCCCCTTACTGACTGGCTGCTACTCAACCTCCTTAAGCCCAGGTTTTGATCTGGAAATCAGGAATGCTAGTAGAACTTCTATTACAGGGTTGTTCTAGGATTAAAGGAGAATGCATGCAAAACACCACACATAGTACCTGGCAGAGTATACCTGGCACAGAGTACATGTCAGTTTTTATCACTATTGCAAACAGGTGGACAGATGGGTCAGGACACACATTGCCCCCACATCACCCTTCCTCACTCACACAAGAAGGAAAAGAAAAAAAAAAAAAAAACATGAAGGAAAGGGCAGCAGAACAACCCAGCCCTCTGTATACCCCTATCTGGCCTTATTTCCTTAGCTCCTTTCCCCTCCAACTGCTCAGAGACCCCCTCCCTTGAACTCTCCCTCTTTACATCCTCGGAAACCCACCACCAATCCTCCACGATTCACGGGCTCCAAAAGTCTCAAAGTACACAGTCCCCTAAGTGGCCCGACAGAAGTCTGTTCAAAACAAACGTCTCCCCCTGCCCCCGGGCCAGACCCCTGCGTAAGGCAAAGCCGCTGCAGCTCGCCGGCCATCCTCTTCTCCCCAGCTCTGGCAGGACAGGTTGCTCTCCCCACCTCCCCCCTCCACACCCGACCCGATCTGAAGCTGGAGAGACCAAACTCAAACGGCCGGAGGGGGGCGGGGAGGGGCGGGGGAGGGGCAGGGCAGAGGGGACCCCCGAGGAATCCAGCCCAGTCCAGTCCGGAGGCGGAGGCTGCCAACTGGAAAAGCTTTGAGAACCTTTGAGGGGCTCAAGAAGAGGGAAAACACACAGGCGCGCGCACGCTGTGCAATACACCCGTTAGGGGAAAACTTTCTGAACAATTCCAGAGAACTTTTTTGACAAGTTCCCGCAGCTCTCTCGGAGTCTGGAAAGCGCCAGTTTCTTGAATGGGCCATCTCGAGCTGATTCAGTGTAACTGCCCCCCTGCGCCACCTTCTTTGGCCCCCTCCTGCCTGAGGGCCCGGCTGCCCTGAGCGTCTGGACTGTCCGAAACTTCGAGGTGGCAGAGCTCGTCTCGACCCCTCTGTTCCCCGCCGGCCAGAAGACCCGGAGGCAGGGTCCCGCCGCTGCTCCATCCCCTCCCCACACCAGACCCACCTTGGGTGCCCGCGGCTGCGGGGGGCAGGAGGGCGAGGACCAGCCCCCAGCGGCACCAGGCCGCCAGCTCCATGGTGCTCACTGCGGCTCCGGCCCCATGGCTCCGGCTGGACCCGGCAGCGAGGGCGCCGGGCGCGGGGCGCCGCCAGGGGAGGGGGCTGGGCGCGCGGTACCAGAAAGGGTCCCCAGGGAAGGGGCGCGCGGCTGCCGGGGGGCAATCTCCTGGTCTCTGCGATCTCAGGGAGGAGAATCTCAGCTCCACAACTTCATTCTTATACTTCCTCACGCAGCCCTCCTCCTCCTCCTCCTCCTTCTCCTGTGATTGGGAGCAAGCGCGCTCGCAGCTCGCCCCCTCCAACTGCATTCCAACAAGTCTGGGAGTGGCAACTCCCAGCTTCACTTTCTCCCTCTCCGCGCAGGCCTGGGTGCGTCCCTCCCAGCTCCCGGACGCCTGGGTTGCCTGCAGCAGTTCTCACACATTTCCTTAAAAACAGAAGAGAGAGATTCTGCCCACTCCCTGGGGACAGAGAGGCCCACTCTCTAGGTTGCCGTTCTTAACTCCCCTTTAAAATCCCAGGTTTTATCTTAAACATTCCTGAGGAGTTTGCATCCTACTCCATCATATGTCTATTTCTTTTAAGATCAAATAATAGTTTCCCCACCACATCCTCAAGTAAAGTTGATAGTCAAGGAGGCCGGTGTGCTGTGTTTACTTCAGGGCTGCCAGGACTCCTCCTGCTATCTTCTCCCAAAAGCGTGATCGTCAGAAGGTGCACACATTTGGGAGGAGATAGTCACATTGCAAGACCCTCTATCTCAATCCTTCAAGTACATCCTTCTTGTTGCTTTATGGGGACACTCAGTACCCAGTTCATCCCAAGTTTTTTCTCTGTCCTTTGCCATCTATTAGCCTGCTATGTCCCCCTCCACACCCTACATCCCACCTGGAATCCCTGACCCTATCTGTTCCTAAAGCCTGATGGAAGGACCTGGGATGGAACATAGGGATGTCTTGTTGGAAATTTCAAGAAAATATTGCATGGGACATATTTATACTAACAACTTACTCGTCCTTTGCCTGAAATTCAAATTTAACTGAGCATCCTTATTTTTATTCGTTAAATCTGGCAAATCTATTTGAATGCCCCAGCCAAGAACACACCTGTACTGGTCAAAAGAGGATAAGGGCCACCTTTCAGGGATTAGAAAATGAAGGACACCAGCATTTCTTAACTTGCATCTATGTGCTGAGCATAGTTACAATCAGACACTTCCACAGTGGGGGGGGGGGTGAGAACAGGGGACTCTGGGATCAAGATGACCTGTGTTCAAATCTTGAATGTATCACATATTAGCTATATGACCTTGGGCAAGTGACTGAGCTTCTCTGGTCTGTTTGCTCCTCCATAAAATAGCATCTGGCATACTGTGCCAGGGGTTAAAGGAGCTAATACTCCTGAAGCACCTAGCACAGTACTTGGCACATAACTGTTCAATAAACGGTCCCAGATTTGGTTATACTGTGGTTGATCCAGGTTTTGTAGGGCCTGAACCTCATAAAATGCTGGAGACTCTCTTTAAGAAAAGGAATACAGCCAGACCCAGCAGATCATGCCTGGAACTCCAGCATTTTGGGAGCCTGAGAGGGGAGGATAACTTAAGGCCAGGAGTTCAAAGTTACAGTGAGTTCTGATCATGCCACCACACTCAGCCTGGGAAAAAGAGCAAGAACTTGTCTCTTAAGAAAAAGAAAAGGCTCAGCACCTGTGGCTCAAGTGGCTAAGACGCCAGCCACATACACCTAAGATGGCGGGTTCGAATCCAGCCCGGGCCCGCCAAACAACAATGATGACTGCAACCAAAAAAATAGCCAGGCATTGTGGCGGGTGCCTGTGGTCCCAGCTACTTGGGAGGCTGAGACAGGAGACTCACTTGAGCCCAGGAGTTGGAGGTTGCTGTGAGCTGTAATGCCACGGCACTCTACCCAGGGCGACAGCTTGAGGCTCTGTCTCAAAAAAAAAAGAAAAATAAAAAGAAAAGAGGTGAGGTGCAGGGGTTATGTATGTAATCCTAGCACTCTAGGAGGCCCAGGCAGGCAGATTGCTTGAACTCACAAGTTTGAGACCAGCATAAGCAAGAGAAAGACCCTGTCTCTAAAACAAAAAGTAGCCAGGCATTGTGGCCAGTACCTGTAGTCCCCGGTAGTGGAGAGGCTGAGGCAAGAGAATTACTTGAGCCCAAGAGTTTGAGGTTGCTGTGAGCTATGATGCCACAGCTCTCTACTGAGGGCAGCAAAATAATGCTCTGTCTAAAAAAAAGAAAGAGGGCAGCACCCGTAGCTCAAAGGAGTAGAGTGCCGGCCCCATATGCCGGAGGTGGTGGGTTCAAATCCAGCCCTGGCCAAAAAAACTGCAAAAAAAAAAAAGAAATTTTAAAAAGAAAGAGAGTAAGTTATGAATACAAAAAATAAAATAAAATTAGGCACATGCATGCAAATGAGCCAGAAGCTTACCCTTCCTTAAGTCCCCTTCTGGCTTCAACCCGTGATGCTCAGACTTCAGTTAGGATTCATTGGAGAGTCTTTTGTGAAACCAATATGGACAATGAAGACAAATCTTAGTTGTTACTGTTGTTAAAGAAATAGAATGAAAGAGAAAGCCTCCAGCGTGTCACATGTAATAAGGGTAAGGTATGGTTTTGTATGTGTGTCCTGGGTGATGGTATAAAATGCATTTATTCCTTGGATCACTGTCAAAAATGTTCAAGAAATATTGCCATGTATGTGGACATAGTAGCCCTTCGGGATGGCCACCAATATGCCTATTTTTTCTTGGGTTAGTGTTAAGGCTCAGACAAAGATCAGGGAAACTGAGTCTCAAAAGACTTAGGCAATTTGCCCAGATGTCGTAGAGTTGACAAGAAAAGCTGAGCATTGAGGCGGCGCCTGTGGCTCAAGGAGTAGGGCACTGGCCCCATATACCAGAGGTGGCAGGTTCAAACCTGGCCCCAGCCAAAAACTGCAAAAAAAGAGAAAAACTGAGCATCCGGCAAAACCAGCCCCTCACCTTCACCCCATCACTCAGCCCTGAACCTGGTCAATGTGCTTCACAGACCTATAGCTCATCAGCACTTCTGGAAGGGGCTACCCTGGGGTCTGACCCCAAGAGTCATTTGCTGGTCTTACATTGGACAGCTTGCACCTGGGTGAGTGCACACAAGGCCTTGGAGAGTCTGTTAGGGTCAGGTGAGAGATGTCCCTTCTGCCTCGCCCCGCCTCTCCCCTGCCCTGGTGTCCTAGACTGTTAGTCCAGCTGGGAAAGCTGCAGTGAACACCATCCTTTATTGCACCCTTATTTTGTGCCACTGTGACCAAGAGCCACATTCCTCCTCTCACTGAGTTTTCCAGGCTCCAGAGGAGACCAGGGTTGTCTTTACCCCATTTTGCAGAAAAGGAACCCTGGGATTTCTGGAGGTAAAGTAACTTTTCAAGTCACACAGCAGACCCGGGAACTGAGGCTTCGGCTTGACCCATTGCCTTCAAGAGCCCCAATGAAGGGTAGCAGGAGCCAACCTCTCCCCCAGGGAGCTAGAGACGACTCCTCCAAGAAGTCAACGTTAACTACGGTCCCTCCCTCCGCAAAGGTCCCGCCTCCCTCGTTCCCTCTCCGCCCTCACCCGGCAACCCCACCCTCTACGAACCCCACATCCCCAAGAGAAACCCCTGCCGGGCCGGGCAGACAAGGCCCAGTCCCAATGGGCTGCGGAGAGGCGGGGCTGCGGCTGGGGACCGTGCGGGCTGGGGGAGGAGCTGGGGTCAGGACTCACGCCCCGGGGAGGAGGCTCGAAGGGGCTGAGCCTCCCAAAGAGAGAGAATAAGAGAATAAGCCCTTTCAGAGCCGGGAAGGAAGGGGGAAAAGCCTTGTCTGGGGTTTGACAAGAGGAGAGGAAGGGGGGCAGGGGTGGGCGCTGCTGATTTGATTTTCTCTTCAGCGGTCCCTCCAGCAGGGCCTGGCAGGGGACCCAAGGAAAGGGGAAGTCTGAGGGACAAAGACAGAGAGGGGGAGTCTGGGGGGATGAGAGGGGGCTGGGGGCCCGAATCTGATGAAGAGCTTGAGAGCTAGTGAGAAGGGCCTTGTGAGAAGACTAGGGAGGGCAGCAAATCCAAACCAGGGCAGAAGCACACGATCTGCCCAGAACCCGGGCTGCGGGCCACGGGTGACCAGACACTGAAGGGGCAGGAGGGGCTCTGGCTCACAGGGATGGGGGGGGAGGGGCGGAGGGTGACCTCTGCGGGTCAACAGTGGGGGTCTAGAACTAATGGCCTGTGAAATGCCAGTCAATCATTGACCAGCCCTGAGACTGGGGTGCACAGGAAACTGTGTGTGTGTCTGTGTGTGTGTGTGTCTGTGTGTGTCTGTGTGTGCGTTGGCACCAGAGTCTCCTCCCTCTACCTGCTACACCAACCCGCCTGGGGTCAGAGGACTGAAAACAAACACAAAAGGGAGGGGCCAGTACAGTCCACAGTACGAGGTCCAGGCCACAAACTGGGGCCTACCCCATGGGGCCTTGAGGCTGGGCGTGGGGTGGCTGGGGGAGTGTGGGTATCAATTAATTCCTTGAAATGGATGCCTCAGAGTAGGCATAAGGCCTCCTTGGGAGCAAAGGAGAATGACCGAGAAGCTTCTGGTAAGAAAATTGGTACTTCCTAGAGGTGGCCTTTTATGAACACTTGCCACTCCCTGGGTACAGAGTAAGGATTGCTTTGAGGATAGCAAAGGGCTGAGCTCAGGGTCACGAGCCACACTGACCCTGACACCTCCCTCAGCCCCTCTCACCACATCTCAGGAATGCAGGCCCAAGGCCCCAGGAGTGTGCCTTTTTCTCTTCCCAGGCTGCTTTGCTGAAACAAAAAGCACTCTTCTGTCCTTGGACTCACCCTGTTTTTATGCAAGTACATGAGGGTACATGTGACTTGCATTGCTGCCTGTGCATGCGAGGGTGTGTGGGTATGAACCTCTTCCATGCTGTCTTAACATGTGCCTTTAGTACTGCTAGTCTTTCCTCAGAGGGTAGCTTTGCTTGCAGCCTTGAATAACCTTCATTTTCCCATCAGAAATAGAGATTTGGACAGAATGGTTCCTGGTCACATGTTTGAGGGTTTGGTGTACGGGAAGCGACCATGTTGAACCACCATGCTGTCCCTTGAAAGCCCCGTTAACCCAGCTCTCTTCTGGATTCTGGATCCTTGTTTCACAAGCATTGAGTCTTCCCACCTGCTCCTCTCCACTGGCCCTTCAGGACCCCAAGCTCCTCCCCACTTTGCTGTTGGTGGTCGTTCAGACCACTGGGTGTGAAC